ATTTTGAAATTATTTTCCTCAAAGGAATAAATTTTAATAGAACTATAGGAAAACTAAATGAAAACATTGCAATCACATAAATACATTGATCAAATTTATGAAAAGAAAATCAGGATAAAATAACAATAAATAAATTGTGTTAGAAAAATTTGTATTAAAGAAAATTTATTTTTACTTTAAATTCAATAAATCAGACAACGATCAAAGCCGCCTATAATATTTGGCGAGAAAGATAAATTTGTCAAACAGATAAATTTTCATGCCAAAAAAAATAAACAACTTCATTTTGACATCATCAGAAAAAATTCCTAAAATCATAAATTCAAAAGAATTTTAATAAAAACATCAAAATAAAATGATCTATTAAATAGATTTTATTAAACCCTAAATCTTAAGAGGTGAGAAATGAAGAGGAGCAAAAAAAGAAAGCAATTCTAAAAATAAATTTTTAAAAAAACAAATTTGATTCATTGGGACCTTACCCATAATAACATAATGGACTATTCCATACGTAATAAATACTGCGCCTCAAGAGGACTATTGGGAGTTCAGTCTGAAGTCGGGCGACCGGCTGACCGGCTGATCGGTTGAACTCTCTGCCTTCGGGCGGGGAGGAACCCGAACGAGGCTACGCCGAAAAACAATTTCTCTTTCGGGACAATAAACCGACCCTGAACCCGTTTATACGGGTTTAAACTTGGGCATATTTTTGGCCGAGCCCACGGGCTCGGAGATCCCACGTTAAACCGGCCTTGTGCCCATGATGCCCTCGTGGGGGGGTGACTAAATACCCGTTCAGTAAAAAGTCTGGGTGAAGTCCGTCAAAAGTCTGTCAGTCAGTCAGCAGATCAGAGAAAAAAAGTCAGTCAGTCGAGTCAGAGGCAGTCCGAAACAGAGTCGCGTTCAGACAATTACTACAAGACATTGGAATAGTGATACTGGTCGAGACTACATTGTTCTCCCTACTAAACCTGATTGTTCGTACTAACACTTTCTACTTCTCTGTATATATTCCTGTTTGTAATATATCTGTGTTATTCCATATCCGTGTTCGAGTTCTTCTTTATTGGTTCTACTTTGGACTATCACCGTGGTACAAGGAACCGGACATAAAACACAAAAAAATAAATGTTTAATGAATATCTTAAAAAAAAAATAGATGACAAATTTTATTAAATATATAAAAAAAAATAATTTTAATATCTTTTAAAAGAATTATTCCATTCAAAAAAAAAAGAAATCAATTAAAAGAAATAAATAAAATTATTTCTTGATAAATGAATTAAAAAAAAATATCAGAAAAAAAAAACGTTTAAGAAAATGAAAAGATGGACAGAAAATAATCATTAAATATAAAATTTTTCTTTTAAAATCATTATGAACAAAATGGTCTTCTTTAAGAATAAAAACGAAAATTTCCTTTGGCATTCAATGAAATGAAAAAAACTTTTAGAAATGAAATAAAATAAACGAGGACAATTGATTTTTTCTGTAAAAATTGAAAAATAAATTTTCAATCTAAAGAAAAATGAAAATTTGAATTTCCATCTTTTAAAGGAAAAAAAATTGAAATTTGAAAAAAAATGTCTTTTAAAATTTGTTTTAAATGAAATTTCCAAAAAATTAAAAAAATAGAAACAAAATGAAATTAAAAAATTTTGACAATTGAAAACAAATTCCATAGACTTTAATTTTTTAAATGCTTTATCTGATAAAATTTGTTTGAAAAATGTTTGGATTTGAGGAATAGAAAAAAAAAAAAGTTTATATATGCCAAAAATTTTTAAAAAAAAAAATTTTAAGTTTTATATGATTTACAGATATTTTGATTTTAAAATTTTAATTGAAAATAAATCAAAAAAAAACAAAAATTTAAGACAATTACAAACAAAATTTGATTATAAAATTTTTGATTTACTTTTTCAAAATCAAAGAAAAAAAAAAAAGGATAAAAAAAAAAGAGAAAGCGAGTTTTCATTGTATTTTTCAAAATTTGAAAAAAAAAAATAAATCCAAAAAAAAAAATTAAACAAAAAAGAAAAAAAATTATTTGATAAAAGTTCAAATGGGTAATTTGGTAGACAATTGAAAGAATTTGATTTACCATTAAGATTTCTTAAATAAAAAAATGAAATAAAAATAATGAAAATTAAAAAAAAAAATGAAAAAAAGTTCTCAAAAAAGCATAAAATATAAAAAAAAAACAAAAAGGAAAAAATTTTAAAACATTTATATAAATAAAATAAAAGCCAAATTTAAAAAAAAAAAAAAAAAAAAATTTTCAATTGAGAAGAAGTCTGAAATTGGAAAAGGCTAAAAATACAATGAAAAAAGAAAATTTTACAATTGAAAAACGAAGTCTAATTATTTTTATATCTTTTAAGAATTCCAAAATAAAATTTCTAAAAAAAGACAAATTAAATTTACAATAAAATCAAATTAAAAATGAAAAAAATAAAATAAAAAAAGAAAGAAAAAAAACAATTGAAAGAAAAAAAAAAAAAAAAAAAAAGAGTCAATTAAAAAGAAAAAAAAAAGAAAAAAAAAATGAAAAAAAAAAAAAGAAAAAATTTAAAAGTCTTTTTAAATGCAAAATTCAAAAATTTAAAAAAAAAAAAACAATTGAGTTTTTTTGAGACAAAAAAAAAAAATTTTTAAAATGAAAGAAAAAAAAAAGAAAAGAGATTGAAAAAAAATAAAAGAAAAAATTCAAAATGAAAGAAAAAAAAAAAGAATGAAAAATTTTTGAAAATAAAACAAATTCTCCTTAAATTTAAAAAAAAATCAAAAAGAAAGAATTAAGAAATTTGTTTTTCTTTGAAAAATTTAAAAAAAAGACATTAAAAGGTAAATTTCCAAAATAGGAAAAAAAAAAAAAAAAAAAGAAAAGAAAGAAAGAATCTTGACATTAAAAAAAAATGAAAAAAAAAAAAAATAAATTTAGAAAAAGAAAATTTTGAAAATAATTAAAAGATCCTTTGAAAAAAATAAATTTTTTTAATTAAATGTCTCCAAATTGAAAAGAAAAAATTAAAAAAGAAAAAATTGAGACGACAAATGGACTGAGATAAAACAAGAAAAATCTGAAAATGAAAAGAAAGAAAAAGAGACAATTTTTGAAAAATTAAATTTTAAAACATTATGGCCAAATAAAAGAAATCAATTAAAAAAGAAAAAAGAAATCTTTTTTATTTTTTTTTTTTAAAAAAAATGAAAGAAATAAAAAAACATTTGAAAAAGATTTTATTTAATGTCAGAAAAAAAATGAAAAAAAAAAAAGGAGAAAAAAGAGAAAATATTGAAATTTTCAATTTTAAAAAATGAAAAAAAAAAAAATTTAAAAGACAAAATATAAACCCTTGAAATAAAAATCAAAAAAAAAAAAATATTTGAAGAAAAAAAACAATAAAGATTTAATAAAAAAACATAAAAAAGGCTTCCAAAATGAAAAAAAAAAAAGAAACAAAAAGAAAAAAATTTCTTGACATTATATCAAAAAACAAAAAAAAGAAAGAAAAAAAAAATCAATTGAAAAAAAGGAAAAATTGACATTAAAAAAATCGAAATAAAAAAAAGAAAAATTATTAATTTGAATATGGTAAAAGTCTGAAAGAAAAAAGAAAAATAAAAAATGAAAGAAAAAAATTTAAAAGATTTGAGAAGATGAAACAGAAAAAACTTTGAAAGAAAATCTTTGAATAAAAAACATTTTACCTCAATTAAAAGAAAAGAAAAAAAATGAATTTGATTCAACAAAAAAAAAGAAAGAAAAAAAAATTCACAATCAAAGACGAATTTCTTTATTTTATAACAATAACAAAAATGAAAAAAGATTTTAGAATAAAATTTCAAAAGTCTAAACATTAAAGCATATAAAAAAAATTCTCAGAAAAAAAAGAAAAATTTTTAAAAAATCTTGACGTTTATTTTGATTTGAAGAAAAAAAAAGAAAGAAAAATTTTAAATTTTGAGTGTTTTAATTTTTGAAATTAAAAAAAAAATTTTTGAAAAAAAAAAAAAAACAATTAAAAAGTTTTGACATTAAAAAAAAAACAAAAAAAAGAAAAAAGAAAAGACAATTGAGAAAGAAAAAGACATTAAAATTTCAAAAAAAAAAATGAAATCTTAAAAAAGAGAAAATTAAAGAGAAGTCTTGACATTAATTGTAAAGAAAAATTTGTGAAGAAAAATGAAAATCGTGGAACAAAAAAAACGAAAAAAAATTAAAAAAAAAAAAAGAAAAGAAATATTTCAAATTTGAAAAAAAAACAGAAAAGAAAAAATGAAATGAAATAAATTAAAATGAAAAAAGAGGAATTTAAAAAATTTTGAAAAATTGAAAAAAAAAATTTTCCAACCAAAATGAAAGAAAAAAGAAAGAGACAAGAAAGAAAAATCTTGACATTTTTTCAAAATTTTGAAAAAAAAAAAAGAGAAAATTGAGTTAAAATTAAAAGAAAAAAAAAACTGAAAGAAAAAAAAAATTTTGATAAATGTGAAAAAATTTTTTTGTTTAAAAATCCAAATGTTTGAAAAAAATTGATGAGAAAAAAAAAAAGAAAAAAAGTCTTGTAAAAATAAAAAAATGAAAAAAAGAAAAAGGAGATTTTTTTTTCTTTTTGACATTAAAAAAATGAAAGAAAAAAAAAACCACTTGAAATTTGAGGAAAAAACAAAACATTAAGGCAAGGGCTCCAAAATGAAAAGAAAGAAAAAATAAAAGAATGAGAAAATTTGACAAAAAGTTAAATCCAAAATGAAAGAAAGAAAAGGGAACAATTGAGAAAAAGTAAAACAAGAAAAACAAAACTCCAAAATGAAAAAAAAAAAAAAAATTTCAGATTGAGAAAGAAAGAAAAATAAAACATCAAAAAAAAAAGAAAAAAAAAAAAAAGAAAATTGAGACAGAAGATTGAATTAATCAAAAATAAAATGAAAGAAAAAAAAAGAAAAAAAAATAAATTGAAGAAAGAACAAAAGAAAAGAAAAAAAAAAGAAATTTAAGTTAAAAGAAAGAAAAAAAACAATTGAAAGAAGTCTTGAATTAAGGCAAGAATGGAATTATAAAGAAAGAAAAAAATAAAAATTGAGATAAAAATTTTGACAAAAAAAGGGAGAAAAAAATGAAAGGAAAAAAGAAAAAAATTGAAAAAATTCTTTTGGAAAAAAAAAAAAAGAAAAAAAAAAAAGGAAAAAAGAAAAAAAAAAGGAAGAAGAAAAGAAAATTGAAAGGAAAAGAAGAAAAAGAAATATAAAAAAAAAAAAGAAATAAAAAAAAAAGAAAAAAGACAATTGAGACGAAGTCTTGACATTAATATAAAGGGCTCCAATCGAAAAAAAAGAAAAAAAGAAATTAAGCCTGAAATGAAAAAAAAAGGGCCCAAAAAGAAAGAAAGAAAAAATAAAATTGAAAGACAGATGTTTCTTTAAAAAAGAAAAAAAAGAAAAAAAAAAAAAGAAAAAACATAAAAAAACAATTGAAAGAAGTCTTGACATGGAAAAAAAAAGGTAAGAAAAAAAAAAAAAAAAAAAAAGAAAATTGAAACGAAAAATTGAAATTTAATAAAGAAAAAAATTCCAAAAAAAAAATAAAAGAAAAAAAAAAAGAAAAGAAAAAAAAAGTCTTGAAATAAGGAGGAAAAGGGCTCCAAAATGAAAAAAAAAAAAAGGAAAAAAAAGACAAGAAGAAAAAAAAAGAAAGAAAGGAAAAAGAAAGAAAGAAAAAGGCTCCAAAAAGAAAAAATCTTGAAAGAAAGAAAAAAAGAAAGAAATGAAAAAGAAAAAAGACGATTTCTTGAATTAAGGAAATGAAAAAATGAAATAAAAAAAAGGAGACAATTGAAAAGGTATTGAAAAAAGAAGTTGTCCAAAAAAAAGAAAAGGAGACAATGTAGAAGATGAAAGAAAATTAATATGAAAGGGAAAAAATGAAAGAAAAGAAAAAAAAAGATACAATTGAGACGAAGTGTTGAAAAATTAAGGCAAGGGCTGAAAAAAGAAAAAAAAAAGGAGACAGAAAAAGACGAAGTCTTGAAAAAAGGCAAGGAAAAAAAAATGAAAGAAAGAAAAAAAAGAAAATTGAAAAGAAGTTTCTTGACAAAGCAAGGGCTCCAAAATGAAAGAAAGAAAAGGAAAATGATTGAAAGAAACTTGACATTAAGGCAAGGGCTCCAAAATGAAAAGAAAGAAAAAAGAGAAAATTGAGACGAAGTCTTGAAAAAAGAAAGGGCTCCAAAATGAAAGAAAGAAAAAATAAACAAAAAAGAACGAAAAAAAACATTAAGAAAAAAAGGGCTCCAAAAATGAAAGAAAGAAAAGAAGACAATTGAAGAAAAGTCTTGACATTAAAAAAGGGCTCCAAAATGAAAGAAAGAAAAAGGAGACAAGAAAGACGAAGTTGAAAGAAAGAAAGAAAGGGCTCCAAAATGAAGAAGAGAAAGAAAAGGAGAAAGAAGAGACGAAATGAAAGAAAGGCAAGGGCTCCAAAATGAAAGAAAGAAAAAGGAGACAATTGAAACGAAGAAAAAAGAAAAGAAAGAAAAAAAAAGAAAGAAAAAAAGAAAGAAAAGAAAAAAAAAGCAAAAGAAAGAAAGAAAAAAGAAAGAAAAAAAAAAGTCTTGAAGAAAAAGGAAAGAAAAATGAAAAAAAGAAAAAAAAGACAATTGAAAAACGAAGTCTTGAAAGAAAGGCAAAAGAAAGAAATGAAAGAAAGAAAAAAAAAACAAAGAAAGTCTTGACAAAAAAAAAAAAAAAAGAAAAAAAAAAGAAAAGAAAAAGAAAAACAAAAAAGACGAAGTCTTGAAAGAAAAGAAAGAAAGGGCTCCAAAATGAAAGAAAGAAAAAGGAAAAAATTGAGAAGAAACTAAACAGAAAAAAAGAAAAAAAAATGAAAAAAAAAGACAAAAGGAGAAATTGAAACTAATTTCTTGACATAAAGGAAAAGAATTCCAAAATGAAAGAAAGAAAAAGAAGAATTTGAAAGAAAGAAATGGACGGGAAATTGACTTTAAAAAAAGAAAGAAAAATTGAAAAATGAAAGAAAAGAAAGAAAGAAATCTTGAAAGAAAAAAGAACTTAAAATAAAAGGAAAAGAAAAATTAAAAAAAAAAAAAAATGAAAGAAAAAAAAAAGAAAATGAAAGAACGAAAAAAAGGAAAAAATGAAAGGAAAAAGGAAAAGAAAAAAAGAAAAAAAAAAAAAAAGAAAAGAAATGAAAAAAAGAAAAAAAACAAAAGGAAGGAAAAGAAGAAAGATACAAATGAATGGTAAAGATAAAGAAAAGAAAAAAAAAAAAAAGAAAAAAAAGAAAGAAAGAAAGAAAGAAAAAAATGAAAAAAAGAAAAAAAAAAAGAAAAAAAGAAAAAATGAAAGAAAAAGAAAGAAAATGAAAGAAAGAAAAAAAAGGAAAAATTGAAACGAAAGAAAGAAAAAAAAAAAAAAATGAAAGAAAAAAAAAAAGAAAGAAAAAAAGTAGAAGTCTTCGTTGAAAAACGGAAAGAAAAAGAAAGAAAAGAAAAATTGAGAAGAAGAAAAAAAAAGAAAAAAAAAAAGAAAAGAAAGAAAAAAAAAAAAAAGAAAGAAAAAAAAAAAGAAAAAAAAAAAGGAAAAAAGGAAAAAAAAAAAGAAAGAAGAAAGAAAAAAAAAGGAAAAAATGAAAAAAGAAAAAAGAAAAGAAAAAAAGAAAAAAAGATTTTAAAAAGAAAAAAGAAAAGAAAAAAAAATTGACGAAGTTCTGAAAGAAAAAAAGCTGAAAGAAAGAAAGAAAAAAAGATGAGAAATTTTTGAAAAAAAAAAAGAAAAATGTTAAAAAAAAAAGAAAAAACAAAAAAAAAAAAAAAAAGAAACTGAAAGAAAACGTTTGAAATGAAAGAGAGAAAAAAAATGAAAAAAAAAGAAATAAAAAGAGAAATTGAAATGAAAAAATATTGAGGAAACATTGAAAATGAAAGAAAAAAAATGAAGAAGAAACGTCTTGCAACAACAACACCAGCTGCACCAAAACAAAAAAAAAAAGTTAACAACATTATTTGGCTGATCAAAAGTAATTACAAGGAGAAAAGGAAAAATGTTAATCAAAAAACAGGAAAGTTGAAAAGAAAGAAACTGCCACGGACGGAAAAAAGAAAAACTGTAACGGCACACTTACAAAAACGTTATCAGGTCCAAAATGAAAGAAAAATTGATTAAGGTTAGAATGAAATTAAAAAAAAGGTGAGACAATACAATTTTATTTTGGAGCCATCGACAAGAAGGGGGAAAATAACGAATTTAAAGACAAAGAAAAAAATTAAAAAAAACCAAAAATAATAAAAAAATATCAAATAAAAATGAAGAATTAAAAAATGAAGGAAAAAGGTTCCAATAAGAAAAAAAAAAAAAATAATAATAGGAAATTAATAAAAATCTTTTAAAAGAAAAAATTAGAATAAAAAGATAAAGTGAAATTTTGTCTGTAAATACCTTTGAAATTCGAATCCATCCAATGATTTTGATCATTTTGAAAAAATTAAATGTTAGTAAATGTTATCGTAAAAAATTTTTTTAAATCAAAAATCCATAAAAATAAAAGAAAAAGAAGATAAATTCAACTATTTTTAAATAAAGAAATAATTGTTACAAATCGGAAAGTAGGTCACTTAGATCAAAAATAGAAAAAGGAGTAGACTATCATTTTTAATTTTCTACAGAAATGCGTTTAGCGAAAAACGAAAATCTGGTGGTGATCAACAAAAATTGTTGAAAACAATTTTAACCTAAAAACTCAAAAAATCAAACAATTAATTATTTAATAAATATCAGTCAATGGAAAAAATTTGAAATTGAATATTTAAAACAGAATTCAAAATATTTTAATTTAAAATTAAATAAAATAAAAAAAGATAAAAAATTAATTTGTCTATTTTGAAAAATAGATAGTTATACTAATTAAATTAAATCCTCCTTTGTAATCCATGATATAAGATTTTAACAAATTGAAGCGTGACTATATATTTATTGTTTTAAAGAAAGGCCTTATATTGATTTTATCCTGTTGAAAAATAAAAAACATGTTTTAAATAAATACAGAGTATTGAAAAGATCAGTGTATGTATTTTTTTCAAAGTTTTTTAAAGAAACACACAAAATGAAGAATATATATATTTATATATATATATATTTATGCAATATTCTAAAGAAAGATTTTTTGATCGACAAATCCTGTGTGTTCAAAGTAATTTTAATTTATCAAAATAGTGGTCAATGTAAAAAGAAAAAACATAAATTAAAATGATTAAAATTTTTGAATGACAATTAAAAGAAAAAAGAACCCCATCGAGGAAAAGGATGATAAATAATTTCAAATTTTTTAAAACTTAAAAATGAAACATTGATTTTTAAAAAATAAAAAAAGAATAAATTTTTTAAAGAAAAAAAAAAAGAAATTAATTGATATATAAATATATAAAAACCAAAAAGAATTGAAAAAAAAAAAATTAAAAATCGAAATAATAAATAAATTGTCAACAAATAAAATGAAAGGTAAAAAAATAAATTTTAACCAGAAAAATATGAAAAAATTTTGAATAAAAGGGAATTAATCAAATCGAAAATAAAAAAATGCATGGCACGTAGAACTAAAACAAACACCATTTAAATATTGAAATCTTAAATTTTTGTTATTGGTCAAAAACCAAAGGACGAAAAAAATTTAAAATTTAATAAAAAATTTTAATATTAATAATATTAAAAACAAAAAATAAAGCAAAAGGGAAAATAAAAATAAAAAGTGGAATGAAAAATGACTGAAAAATGGTCCAAAAATAATGTATATAGGAAGGTAACATATGAACCAGAAAAAATGTATGGGAAAAAACGATATAATTATAAAAAAGAAAACAGAAAAAATATTGATAATAAACATCGGTCATCACCGGCACAACCAGAACAAGGACTTTTTGATTTAAATGAGGAACCAGAATATTTTCGAAAATTTTGCTTAACAAGAAAAGAATAGAATAAGAACTTTTTAACCACGCCGAAGAACAGAAAAAAACATAAATACATATTTAACGATTAAAAAAATAAAAAAAAAATAAATAAATGGAGAAATAGAATTTTTTTTAATTTGAACTTAAAAAAAGAAAAAAATGTTTGAACGATAAATCCGAAAACGACAATAATCACAAAACGGTTGTGGTGCAATGGCGAGAAAAATCAAATTAAACAACTAACATGAAATGCAACAAACTCAGGCGTGACATCGAAGGAAAAAAAAGAAATGTAAATAGAAAATCGAATTTTGAAAGATAAAACAGAATCAAATGTAAATTAAATAAAAAAAGTTATTTTCGTTTTGACATTTAGATAAAAAATGAAAAAAAAAAAAAAAATACTTCGAAAAGATATATCTTGTTCATCGAACAAATTGAACAGAAAAAAAGTTTTTTTGAATTCAAAAGAAAGAAAAAAAGAATAATGAAAGAAATATGAGATAGACTAGTAGTGAATAAAATAAATAATAAAAGAAAACAAAAAAAAGGAAGAAAATGATGCGTTTAATTTTAATTAATAAGAAAAAAAATCAATGAAGGAAACCATCATCTTTTAAATCTAAGAAATCCGAAACAAGAAAATAAACAAAGAAATTGAAAGAATGAAAAAAAAAAAAAGAAATTTTCTTGACATGTACTTGGCAACGATGCATTCAATGAAAGAAAGAAAAAAAACATAAAGAAAAAAAAATGAAAGTTAAGAAAGAAAAAAGAAAAAAGAAATAAATAAACTAAGAGGAAAGAAATGCCAAAAAAAAGAAAAGAAAGAGGGAAAAAAAATGAAAGAAAGAAAAGGGAGAAAAAAATGAATGAAAATATAAGCTTGAAAATTGACGGAAAAAAAAAGAAATGGAAACGAAAATTGGAGAGAAAAGGAAAGCACAGAAAATCAGACGTACAAAAAAAAAAGAAAAGAAAAAAGAGATCAAAAGATAAAGAAAAAAAGATGCCATGAAATAAAAAGAAACGGGAAAAAGAAAAAAAATAAAAATAAAACCTAATATGAATTAAAAAGAATGATGAAGAAAAAAGGAAAATGAAAAAAAACAAAGAAAAAAGAAAGGAAAAAAAACAAAAACAAATGACAATGAATTGCCAAAAATGGACGGATATAATGACTGAAAAAATTGAAAAAATAAAAAAAGCAAAAAACAACTGAAAAGCCAATTTTCGGATAAAAAAATTATTTGAAACCAAAGAAGGGGTTAGCATGGGTAACGAAATGAATAGATAAAAAATCAGAAAAATAAAAAATGGTTCAGTTTGGACCATTCTTATAATTTAATCCCCAAATATGGACACATTAAAATGGAAAAGAAATATTTTTTATGAACATAATACCAACAATGAACAAAAATATATACTACTGACAAGATATTTTTACAGGAAATTAAACAATAATTATAAAAAAACATTTTTATGCCAGCAGAAAGAAGGGATATAAAAGAGGAAAATTGTCTTTTATTAAAACATATTTTCATTACTTTCATAAAAAAATTGAATTGGAAAAATTTTTTAACTAAACTTATCGACAGCATGGATCGATTGCTTAAAGTCGTTCGATCTGGTACCACTGAGAACATGG